GCGCTGCCTCGGTGCTGTTCCTCGAGAACTCCGCGCTGGCCTCGGTGGCTGGTTCCTCGAGACCCGCGCTGCCTCGGTGCTGGTTTCCTCGAGACCCGCGCTGCCTCCGGTGCTGTTCCTCGAGAACCCGCGCTGCCTCGGTGCTGTTCCTCGAAGACCCGCGCTGCTCGGTGCTGTTGCTGTTTCCTCGAGACCCGCGCTGCCTCGGTGCTGTTCCTCGAGACCCGCGCTGCTCGGTGCTGTTCCTCGAGACCCGCGCTGCCTCGGTTGCTGTTCCTCGAGACCCGCGCTGCCTCGGTGCTGTTCCTCGAGAACCGCGCTGCCTCGGTGCTGTTCCTCGAGACCCGCGCTGCCTCGGTGCTGTTCCTCGAGACCCGCGCTGCCTCGGTGCTGTTCCTCGAGACCGCGCTGCCTCGGTGCTGTTCCTCGAGACCCGCGCTGCCTCGGTGCTGTTCCTCGAGACCTCGCGCTGCCCTCGGTGCTGTTCCTCGAGACCCGCGCTGCCTCGGTGCTGTTCCTCGAGACCCCGCGCTGCCTCGGCTGTTCCTCGAGACCGCGCTGCCTCGGTGCTGTTCCTCGAGACCCGCGCTGCCTTGGTGCTGTTCCTCGAGACTCGCGCTGCCTCGGTGCTGTTTCCTCGAGACCCGCGCTGCCTCGGTGCTGTTCCTCGAGACCCGCGCGCTCGGTGCTCCTCGAGACCCGCGCTGCCTCGGTGCTGTTCCTCGAGACCCGCGTGCCTCGGTGCTGTTCCTCGAGACCCGCGCTGCCTGTTCTCGAGACCCGCGCTGCCTCGGTGCTGTTCCTCGAGACCCGCGCTGCCTCGGTGCTGTTCCTCGAGACTCGCGCTGCCTCGGTGCTGTTTCCTCGAGACCCGCGCTGCCTTGGTGCTGTTCCTCGAGACCCGCGCTGCCTCGGTGCTGTTCGAGACTCGCGCTGCCTCGGTGCTGTTCCTCGAGACCCACGCTGCCTTGGTGCTGTTCCTCGAGACCCGCGCTGCCTCGGTGCTGTTCCTCGAGACCCGCGCTGCCTCGTGCTGTTCCTCGAGACCCGCGCTGCCTCGCCTCGAGTGGACCTGCGCTCCTCGGTGCTGTTCCTCGAGACGCGCTGCCTTGACTCGCGCTGCCTCGGTGCTGTTCCTCGAGGGCCAAGTTCCATCGCGCGAGGTCGTGGCTCCTCTCGCGCTGTTCACGCTTGACATTTTCGGTTTCATAGATCGTGTTCGGATGCGGCGGCGGCGGCCTCCCTTCGCCTTCCTCCGGGTCACGTGAGAGCGCGCCGTCTCCCTTGCCACCCGATGCTGTGCCTGCGAATGCGACGATTATCGCTACGTCGTAGTGTGTGTGTGTGTGTCTGTGTGTATGTGTGTGTGCGTATGTATATGAATACATATGATACCTGTCTTGGCACCATAAGGCACCGCTGTGTTCACTCGTGCCCTCAGAAGCGGCGGGCAGTGGAACCTAAGCCCGTCGGAGCGTAGCGTGACCACAGCTGTAGGGCAGCCTTGTCAAGTTCACAACTTGCTTCCGATATGAGTAAGATGACCCGACTTGACCCACGAGCACTACCTGCCACCGGAGACAGGGCAGTGCGTGGTCAATAGGTCGATGAAAGGCACAACCCAGCGGACGTTAACCCAGACAGAACCCCGATCCGAGAAACTTTATCTAAATCTCATATAAATGGTTTTAGAAAATGAAACGTGGGTAAGTCGACGAACCAAAGGCCACAGGATAACCATTCCTGATCAATAAGTGCTTCAGATAACGGACCCTTTCTATAAAGAGAAGATGAATGAATTTCCCAAATGCCAATAAACCTGCAGGGCACAAATCGCCCCATACTTGACCGGCCAGGTTGCAAGATTAACTGCGGGTTGTGACGTAATAAAAGGCTGTGATGCTGTTTATCTTCTTTAATTGGATTGCGTCGGAGGTGTGAAAGCCATAGGAGATGCACATGCGGACACATCTCACACTAGCCCCATCACACACACACACACCACACGCACACGCACTTCACACGCACACCACACAGACACACACACCACACACACGCACACACACACACACACACACACACACACACACACACACACACACACACACACACACACACACACACACACACACACACACACACACACACACACACACACACTCACACGCTTCACACATCAACAAACACATATGTTCTCATACATACAAATTTAAACACTTACACTAACGCTCACACACAACTCATTCTCTCACACAGACAGACATTCAAAAACACGTACATTTACACTGGCGCTCACACACGTACGCACACACATGCACTCACACGCTCTCTACATTAAACATGAGGTGATTATCTCTCCCTTGTCCCGATAAAGTTACAAATTACAAATTGGCACCCTCCCCACATCCCCCCCCCCCGCCCCCCTCGTTCTCTTCCCCATCCTTCTCCCTCCCCCTCCCCCTCCTTCCACGTTCTGCTATCAACATAAACAATACTCTCCTTGCACCTCTCTTCCCCTCCCTCCCCTCCCCTCTCCCCCCTCCCCTCCCTCCTCCCCTCTCCATCCTCTCTCTCCTTCCCTCCCTCCTCCTCTTCCCTCCCCTCCCCCCCTCCCTCCCCTCTCTCTCCCCCTCCTCCCCTCTTCTCTCTCTCTCCCCTCCTCCCCTCTTCTCTCTCCCCTCCTCCCCTCTCCCTCTTCTCTCTCCCCTCCTCCCCCTCCCTCCCCTCTTCTTCCTCCCCTCCTCCCCCTCCTTCTCCTCTTCGCTCTCCCTCTCCCATCTTCTCTCTCCCTTCCCCCTCCTCCCCTTCCCCCCCTTCCCTTCTTATGATGTCAGATGTGTTGAGGTTCATTAACAGCGGGGTGGGGGTGGGGGTGGGGGTGGAGGGTAATCGAGGAGAGTGGAGGCAAGAAGGGGAGGGGGAGGGGGGAAGGGGGAGGGGGACCTGTGTGATGTAACAGCGACAAGGTAAAAAAAAAAAAGAGAAAAAAAATGTATACTGATCTGAGGCAAGGAAGTTCTTTTTGTTGTTTCTGTTGTTTCTGCTTTTGCATTTGAGTATTTTTTTTTTTTTTAATGGTTGTAGTTGGCTGCGATGTTTTTGGAGTGGAAAATAATGTTGGATTAAATGTACCTGTTTTCCCCCCCTCATTTCAGCTTATGTTTGTCGACTGATGTTTCTCTCCCTCCCCCCCTGCCCCAGCCCCCAAGCCGACCTCTCTCTCTCTCTTCTTCCTCTCTTTCCCTCTCTTTCTCCTTCTCTCTATCCACTTACTCTGTCTCCCCCCTCTCTCCCCTCCCACTCCCTCTCTCCCCCTCTCTTTCTCCTCTTTCTCTCTCTCCTATTCCTTCCCTCCTACCCTCTTCTTTCCCTTGATCACCCTTATCCTTCTCCCTCCTCCTCGCCTATTTCCTCTTCCTTCCTTCCTCCTCCTCTCCCACTTCCCCTTCCTTCCTTCGTCCTCCTCCTCTCCCTGACCATTTCCATCTTCCTTCCTCCTCCTTTATCCTCCTGTCCCACTTCTCTCACCTCATCTTCCTTCTTCTTCCTCCTCCTCTCCACTTCCTCTTCCTTCCTTCTTCCTCCACCTCTCTCAATTCCTCTTCCTTTCTCCCTCTCCCACTTCCTCTTCCTTCCTTCCTCCTCCTTCTTCCTCCTCTTCTGCCACTTCCTTTAATTCCTTCCTCCTCCTCCTCTCCACTTCCTCTTCCTTCGTTCTTCCTCCTCCTCCCCCACTTCCTTTTTCCTTCCTTCTCCTCCACCTCTCCCAATTCCTCTTTTCCTCCTCTCCTTCCTCTTCCTCCTTCCTCCCTCTTCCTTCCTCTTCTTCTTCCTCCTCCTCCTCTCTGTCACTCTCATCCCGTCCATTAACTTTTTATCGAACATAAACTCAATTTATAACCTCCATTCTCTCAGGATTTAAATTACTGTCATTAACACGCACACACCCAGGCTGACGAGGTTGTGAGGACTCGAGTGTTATGTCTACGAGTATGATCTTGGAGTAGATATACTCTGTCTCTCCCTCCCTCCCTCCCTCTCCCTCTCTCTTTCCCGCTCACTCTCCTCCCTCCCCCTCTCTCTCTTTCCCTCTCCCTTCCTCTTTGCCTTCCTCCTCCCTCTCCCTCTCCCTCCCTCCCCTCTCTCTTTCCCTCTCCCCTTCATCTTTGCCTTCCCTCCCTTCTACCTCCTTCGCCCCTTCTACACCTCTGGAGTTACTCCTTGGAGGAAAAGGAGATGAAGATTGTGAGAAAAGAGATAGGATTATTGGGTTTTGTTGTTGTTGTTGTTGTTATGTTTTCCTTGTTCTTGTTAGCAATGTTATTTAGCGGTGTTGTTATTGTTAGTAAGGGTTATGATAACGATTATGATAATTATGATGATAATGATATCATTATTGTTGTTGTTATTGCTGTTATTGTTATCATTATTATGATTATTATGTGATGATGATGACTATCATTATCATTACTATTATTATCAATATTGCTATTATTTTTGTTATTATTATTATAATTATCATTACTATTATTATTATCATCATTATTTTTATTACCATTATTCTCGTTATTATCATTATTGCCATTATTATCATGGTTATCATCAATATTATCCTCCTCCTCATTACTATTACGATTTTCATTATCATAATCATTATCATCATTCCTATAATTATTATCAGTATCATCATCATTAATGCCATCATCATTACTATTACTGTTATTATTGCTACTGTTGATAATAGCATCATTTTTATTGTTGGTATTGTTTTTTTAAGGATTATAATTTTTCTATTATCATCATTATTGTTATTACTGTTATCATTATCAGGATTGTTAGCATTGTTAGCATTATCATCATCATAGTAATGAAAACAATAATAATAATAATAATAATAATAGTAATTATTATAATGATTATTATTGTTATCAGCTTTATCATCATGATTGTCTTTATCATTATCACTGTTATTATTGTTATCATTATTGTTATCGTCACTTTTATGATTAGCATGCGTATCACTGTTATTAACATCATCATTATCAACATTATTACTATCATTATCATTATTATCATTACTGTTATCAATGTTAACATTATCGTCACTGTTATATTTGTCATCATTATTATCATCGTTACTGATATCATTGTTATTACTATGGATTGTATAATCTCACTCCTATTATAATGATGTATATATATATATATATATATATATATATATATATATATATATATATATATATATAATATATATATATATATATGTGTGTGTGTGTGTGTGTGTGTGTGTGTGTGTGTGTGTGTGTGTGTGTGTGTGTGTGTGTGTGTGTGTGATATATATATATATATATATATATATATATATATATATATATATATATATATATATATATATATATATATATATATATATTATATATATATATATATATATATATATATATATATATATATATATATATATATATATATATATATATATAGATAGATAGATAGATAGATAGATAGATTGATAGATAGATAGATAGATAGTTAGATAGATAGATAGATAGGTAGATAGATAGATAGATAGATAGATAGATAGATAGATAGATATAGATATAGATATTCTGTCTTACATGTGATAGCATGTGTTTAGAAATAATCTGGGATTTATAATAGTGATTATAAATGGTAATAAAATAAAATAAAGTTTTTTTATGTGATATATAATCATAACTTTGTGATAGTTCATGAGTGTTATTAATGATGGTTGATCATGATGTGTAAGATTATATTTTATATGATGAGGGAAATAATCACCAGAAACAGGCGGATAATAATAATCGGCATGAAGGAAAAAAGAAAGAAGTAGATGAAGAGGAAGAAGGAGAAAAAAAAATGAAGATGAAGAAAAAAAGAAGAAAATAAGGATAATAATAATATAAGAAAAAAGTACAATATATTTAGGGAAAAGAAAATAAACAACATTCCTTAAAACATTAAGAATACAAACAAAAAAACAAACTATTAATTGCACTTGCTACCTGACCCCCCGCCCCCATCCCCCTCCCTATCCTACCCCCCCCCCTTCCCCCCCCCCTTCAGAAGACTATCAATCGGCCATTTTTATATATGAATTAATTTATCATGGAAGAGAGATTCACTTTTCAAATTAATGATGACTGGTAAGTGAAGATTAGTGATGATAGCTATTTCTTAAGGGATAGGATGATGATAATAATTATATGAAATACACCGATGCCATTTGGATAGAGATAGAGAGATAGATAGACATAGATAGATAGACAGATATATAGACAGACAGAGAGATGGATAGATTGATAGAGAGAGATAGGAGATAGATAGATAGATAGATAGATAGAGAGAGAGAGAGAGAAAGGTGTATGTATGCACATACTTTTGAGTGTATATTAATGTTTTTATGTGTATGTGTGTGTATCTCTGTGCTTGTATATGTATGTAACTGTACTTACATGCGTATGTGTGTAACCCATGTATGTCTTATGTTTTAAATTTGCGGCATGTCTGAGTCTATGTGCATATGTTAAGGTGTATTTGTGCAAAAGCTTGTTTTGTGCGCGCGCGTGTGTGTGTATCAGCATGTGTATGTGTGGGTATTTGCACGTGTCTTTTCTGCAAATCCACTTGTGTCTTGTGTGTAAACCTTAAAGTTCAGATAGGTAAATAAAGAAAAGTAAACAAAAAAAAAAAAAAAAAAAAACAGATAAATAGATAAAGAGGTGCACCTGCATGATAAATGAATGAGTGAATGAATGATTGAATAACTAGACAGATAAACAAACTAATAAAAAAAATATAGATATATAAATAAATGAACAGATAAACGTCTGACTGAATAAACATACAAAATAAATAAATAAAAATCAATACGAATATATACATACATACATACATACATAATATATATATATATATATATATATATATATATATATATATATATA